TAAAGGTCTTTATTGTCTCTCATTCAGTCCTGACTCAACCTGATAAAACAGAAAATAACTCAGAAAGGTGAAAACAAACGAAGCTAAGCTCTATATGAGTAGGTGTGACCCAGAGAGTTCTCAGTCTGGCCTGACAAAGGAAAACAGCACTGTTTGTAATGGAAAATAAAATGCTATCAGAGCTACAAGAAAACATGTTATCTTTAAAGCAATCAAAAGTTTCAAAGAAAGAATAAATTATATTCAGTTGTGTTGGAATAAGAAATAACTTCTTTGTTCTTGTTTTTTGTTTTTGTTTTAGATAGAGTTGTACTATATATCCCTGGCTGGCCTGGGAAAAAAAAGGGAAACTTTTCCTTAGATAGGTACCTGGACCGGCCTCCTTGGGCCCCGGCCTGGGGAGACAGAAAGGGACAGAAAGGGAGGAAGACGGAGGAAAGCGTGCTGCAACGCACTTTTCTCTTCTGAATGTCATATTTCATTTTTTTAATTCTGACATTAGGCTGGCAAGGTGGCTTCATGGGTGAAAACGCCTGCCGTCAAGCCCAAGTTCAATACCTGGGATCCACATGGGAGAAGTAGAGACTGGCAAGTTGTCCTCTGATCCCCAAGTGCCTTGAGCACTTGCCACCTCAAATGATTAAACTGGGGAAACCCTGAGGGATGGTCTTTTTTATAGATATTAAATGATATGTAGGACTGTGAAAAGTATGTAAGAAAGGGATTTCCCATAGAAATTAATAAAAGTGCAGAAACTGGAAATACTGGATTTTGTCTAGGTATGGTAGCATTTAATTAGGCTAAGAAATATATGCAAGAGAATAATAAAAAACAGAATGGAGAATAGACTAGACCATGGGATGCAATATCTGTTTAGGAGTGACTAGATCTTCTAAACTACAAATGCCTCATAAGCCTTAGAGTTATTATCATCAACTATCATTTGTTGGTGAATGAACACATAACGAGTGAATCTGGGATTCTTCCCCAAAAGATCATTTATACCTTTTACAGAAAAAGCAACATTCTCTGCTGTTATAATGGTTCTCAACCACAGAAAGCATATGGAAAGTGAGAGATTACATACATTAAAGTGTTGCAAACTTTACCCTGTGATGCTTATTTGAGAACCACTTCTCTAATGATTATTGGTTAAAGGATAAAAGAAGGACCTAAGCAGAGAGGTGTGTCATCATGTTTCAAGTCCTTTTCACCAAGAACTCCTGACTGATAGTGTAACTGGCCTTCTGTTAATCTGAGGTGCTTGTGAATTCTGCACCGCTTGACGCTGTTAAACACTTGAAACTTTCTCGACTCTGTTTTCTATAACTTCTTTGCTCTTTCTCCTCCCTGTCTAGCTCTAAACCATCTCTTCCATAAGCTATTGCCCCTGTAGCTACCTGGATGAGGTGGCTGCTCCATGCTATGCCCTTGTTTTCTCATGCTTTACACTGTCCCTGGGAGGTCTTACCAAGCCCTCTCAGTTTCAACTGCAATCATCTGAAAACTCTTAAAATTATTTTTGTGATCCTCAACTTTTCTCCTATGCTTTTCAGATTATTTCTAGTTGCCCATTATGCCTTATTAGCATATCCCACAAGCGCATCAAAGCTAATCTGTTTGACCCTGAGTTCATGTTTTTCTCCCTCCCTTCCAAGTCCAAGTTCCATCCCCCAGATACATATCTATCCCAACCTTCTTCAGCCCTTCTTTCTATATAATGTCACTAGTCACACAGTTTCATAAACTAGAATCCTTAAACCCTTCCTTCACATCTGCTTGCCCTTAACAATTTCTTTCTCACAGATGGTCTTTAAATCTTTCTCTTGTCTGTTCTTTTTCTCACATGGGGGTCTTGATATGTAACCTAGACTAGCCTCAAATTCTCTCTCTCTCTCTCTCTCTCTCTCTCTCTCTCTCTCTCTATAAACTGTAAAATTTCTGTGTTAAAAACATTGACAATCCATGCTTTTCTACCATCCCAACAATCTTTTCTTTAGTCATGTCCTTGTTTCCTCCACCACCACTCTGGTCTATACAGTGCCGCCAAGGTGTCTGCCAAAACTAAACTATAACCATGCCATGATTCTGCTCAAAAACTTTCTAAGTCTTTAAATCCATAAGACAAACACGGCTTCCTGGAATAAGCTCTTCTACAATCTGGAACCTGAACATAACCTAACTTACTTAACTTTGGGGTTTTAGTCTGCCCCATCTCCTTTCATCTCCTTCCATTCAATTTGTATTCCCCACATAGGCCATGCCCTTTCATGGCTAATCCCACAGACTGGAATGTCCTTAGGTCGATGCCACAAATGCCTATTCAAGCATCTACTAAGTTCTAAACACCATTCTGGGGCCTCAAAAACAAAAATGAGAAGATAAAGACTCTCCTGTCAATGATCCCAACCCTATAGTCAGGGAATAAGCATGTCAACAGATAATAATGGACTGTGACACATACACACTGGAGAGAGGCAGAAAGAACAGAGGGAGCGTAAAGGAGAGAAGCCAACTGGAGGGAGCTGGACGTGAAAGCCTGTCAGAATCTGGATGGCCCAGATGGGGAAAGACAGGGCTGAAATGGCCACAGGCACTGAGGACTGGAGCTTAGCATTTCCAGGAAGCAGTATGAGCTTCCATACAACATAGAAACAAAGAATAAAATGCAAATGAAATGTATACCTTTTAAAGTTAAGATGGCAAGTTATATGGTGTTTTCACTATAATTAAAAATTTTTTAAAAATTATAATGAACAATTGTCTACCTCCCCATCTTCTCAACTTATAAACTATTCCTCTAGGTTAGCCACCATAAGGAGTGTTTTTGTGTTGTTTTGTTCTTTTGTTTGGTCTTTTTGAGACAGGGTCTCCCTGTAGCCCCAGCTGTCCTGGAACTCACTATGTAGACCAGGCTGGCATTGAACTCACAAAGATCCACCTGTTTCTGCCTCCCAAGTGCTGGGATTAAAGGCATGTGCCACCAAAGTTGATGAACATCAGTTAGGGAACTCAAATGAGGTTAAGGTACATGAATTTATTATAAACCCAATAAGTGCATTTCATATATATTTACATGCATGCACACGTGTGCACACACATACACTTTGTTCATATATTTCTGCTATCTCAGAAGCAAAGAGAGTCCTAATGTTGCCAGACTGAGCAGTAGACAATTCTGAAAGGCCTGAGGAAACAGGATTGCAAAAGATGGTTTATCATAGATTTTAGTTTTCGGCACCAGGCTGACTCTACCCAGGTTAAATCCCTTCCTTCTTGTGCCGAACCTGAACCTGCTCTCCTACATGAGACTGGAGAAAAGCAACTAATTTATATGATGACACTAAACATTCATGATCACTAACCTCAAATGTGGCCTTAATGCTGCCTAGCCACTGATTGTACCTCATGTCTTAAGTCTATTTCTCAGACTTCGCCTTTCTTAACAGATGATCTTGCTCCTGTTTCCTTCACAAAACACAACCAATTAGGAGGAAAGACCCACCAGCTGCCACCACAATAAGATTATCCACTTACCTCCTTTGGTGACCCACATGCTTAATCTTCTGTTCTGTCACAGTGAACTTATTATACTCCTACAAATATACTCAAATATACCTTCAATGATTCTCTCTCTCTCTCTCTCTCTCTCTCTCTCTCTCTCTCTCTATCTAGCTATCTCTATCTCTGTCTCTGTCTCTCACTCATCATTTTTCCATTCTATTAGCTCTTTACTATCAACATCAAATGTGCTAAATTTTTTCCCATCTTAAAACAAACGAATCCACATCCCCACAGGATTTTAGGTATGAAAAGTGCTACCTGGCACTAGAGAGATGGCTCAGCAGTTAAGAGCACTTCTAGCTGTTCTTGCAGAGGACCCAGGTTTGAGTCCCAGAACCCACGTGGCAGCTCACAATCTGACACTCCAGTTCCAGGGGACCTGACACCCTCTTATGGCCTCCGAAGGCACCACACACATGGGTACACTTAATATTCATGCAGACAGAACATACACATGAAAGAAATAAACTAAAAAAAATTAAATTAAAAAAAAAGTGCTGTGTTCTCATGGTCAAATTCTGTCTTTGGAGGCCCTTTTAATTCCATTCCCCACTCACTATTGTACTGAAATATTCCTATCAGAACACCAATGGCCTTCATGTTGTTAAATGTAAGAATCCATTCTTTCTTCATCTATCTGATCTAGCAGTGTTTGGCACAGTTGATATCTTCCACTTTCTTAGAATGTTCTTTGCTTGACTTTTAGAACATCATCTGCTCTTTATTCTTTTCTCACAGAATATTTCTTTGCTATCTTTTTCCTTGTCACCCCAATCAAAAGGTGTTCATGTTTAATGCCTTCAACTTTAGAATAAATTATATGGTTCCTTTTCTTTGCAGTAGATATGCTTTCTGTTCTAGTTTGTTTCTCCATTGCTGTGACAAAACACTCTGACCAATACCAACTTAGGGAGGAAAGGGTTTATTTGTCTTACATCTCCCAGGTCACACTTCATCAGGGAGCCCAAGGTAGGAACTCACGGAAAGAACCTGAAGGCAGAAGCTGGCGCACAGGCCATGGAGGATTGCTGCTTACTGACTTGCTCCTCTGGCCCCTGCTCAGCTTACTTTCTTATGCAACATAGGCCTACCTTGCCCAGGGGTGGCACCACCCACAGTGGGCTGGGCCCTCCCACATCACTCATCAAGAAGATCCCCCACAGACATGGCCACTGGCCAGGCCTATGGAGGACATTCCCCAATTGAGGCTCCTCAACCTCGGTGTGTCAAGTTGACACTAAAGCTATCCAGAACACTTTCTAATTATTCCGCGCTTATCTCTAGTTTAATTAACTTTCATTCTCTGAGCATACACCAAGTTGCTAAAGGAAAAGTCTCAGAAACATATTGTATGTTGAAGGGAAGCCATTACCAGGCGTGAGGTCCACACAAGTGATCAGCACTCACTCACCCTTCCTTTGTCTCTTCTGTTGTAGCATGTTCCTGCCATCCGGTTGGATCAGCTGTCCTTCCTTTTAGCTCAGTGACCTTCTGTGACCCCAGCAACGGTGACTGCCCTTGCAAGCCTGGGGTAGCTGGGCCACATTGTGACAGGTGCATGGTGGGATACTGGGGCTTCGGGGACTACGGCTGCAGACCTTGTGATTGTGCAGGGAGCTGTGACCCTCTCACAGGAGACTGCATCAGCAGGTGAATGTCTCAGCTTGTTCTTGTCTATGTGTGATTTAGATTTTGAAGATCTGGTAGTGATTTGGGAAATCTTACATGTCATAAGTAGAGCAGAGATAGCCATGTAGCTCTTTAAAGAATTTTTGACAGCTTGTAAAATCAAACAACTAGTTCTTGCAAGATTCTGGAAATCACCTAGTTCATTTTGTAAAATAAATTATTTTACACAGGTCTTCATTTTTGGTTTTGGTTTTGAATTTTTATGATTTTCATACAATATAATTTGATGGTATTTAGATCCTTTCCCCATCCATACCTCCCCTTACTGACCACCACCCAATTTAATGTACTCTATTGTATGTATGTATAATAAGGCCTATAGAGTCTAATTAGTGTCCTCAATGTCCTTCAATATGGGTCCATCCACTGGAGCTTGGTTAACCTACTAAGAGCCCCATCCTTGAAAGAGACTTTTCTGCCCCTCCCTTCAGCCATCAGTTACCATGATTTTCTTAGATTGGGTAGAGGTTTCTTATCTACTTCCTCATGTTATGATGGGATTTTGTCTGATTTGAGCTTGCCTGGGACTTATGCATGCTGTTACCATTGCCGTGAGTTCATATAAGTAACTGAAAACTCTGGAAAACTCTGTGTTCTTGTCATCCACCACCTCTGGCTCTTACATCTTTCTGCCCAGTCTTCTACAATGATCTCTGAGCCTTGGGATGAAGAAGTTTGAGAGAGGTCTTACTCAGGAACAAGTAGTCTGCAACCTCTTGTTCTATTACATTGGCCAGTTGTGGGTTTCTGTGTTAATCACCATCTGCTGCATAGGGAAACTTCTCTGATGAGAGTTGAGAAATATGTTTATCTATGAATATAATAAGTCATTAAGAGTCAGTTTAGGGTCTGGAGCAGTTAAGAGCACTGGCTGCTCTTGCAGAGGGCCTGGGCTCAATTCCCAGCACCCACATGGTGGCTAACAACCATCTGTAACTCCAGTTCCAGGGGATCCTATGCCCTCTTCTGATTTCCTCAGGCATTGCAGGATATGGGTGCACTTACATGTAGGCAATACACTCATACACATAAAATAAAAATAATAATTAAGTCAGTTTAATATGATAACTAATTAGTAGAAAACTAGTATTAGATTCTCCCCTATGCCCTGTGACCTATCTAGCCTCAAGTTCCTAAGCCTTGATATCAATGTCAGGTATGGGCTCCATCCTATGAAATGGACCTTAAATTCAATTAAAGAGTGGTTAGTTACTCTCATAATAATTTTGCACTTTAATTTCTTAAAGCACTACTTCCTTCTAGAAAGTGAAAGTATGGGGCAGTAGGTGATACGGTTTGAGTCTCCATAAATAGTCACTCTCACTCAGTTTCTAAGATATTTCTTTTTAAGTTCTCCATTGTTTTCTCTTTCGTTAGCAGTGCTGACATAGACTGGTATCATGAAATTCCTGCCTTTCATTCTATGCACAATAAAAGTGAACCATCGTGGGAGTGGGAGGATGAGCAAGGATTTTCTGCGCTTCGACACTCAGGTAAGATATGTGTTTGCATCATAATTTCCAGGTCTGATCTTGAGCAATAGTGAATGTGTCAAATTTGGGGACGGCTTTCGGATCTTCCAAGGAGCATCCTTTAGTTCTGAGGTTTAATAAAGTAGCAGTCTGCCCCAATTAGTATGAAACTGAAATATCACTCAGAAAGAACTAAAGAACTTCTGTTTATTTTATGATTTTAAGGTAATGTTTATAGTATGAAAAAATGTAAAATATCGCATTAAAAGAGAAACATCACCCCAATGGTGTTCACTTACCAAGGTCTGCAGCTTGCAATGTAAAACCCCAGATCATGGTTTGTTTTCTTTTTTCAGCCTCTTTTCATTAGCAAGAAGAACCTAGGCCAATCTGTGTCCTTAAAAAGTGCCTCGCTGTAGTGGTCTCTTCTTGGTCCCCTTTATGCCACAGGTCTGAACTAAACTCGACCACTGTTGCTGATTCTGAAATCAGGACCAAAAGATCTTTATGATTTCTAGCCCTTGACCTTTTGTGCACTCCTTCACTCCTAACCCACAGAAACGGTCACCTGTTCTGAAATAGACTGTATCTGTTGTTTTCTACTTTTCCTCACATTGTTCTGTGTTTAAAACTGAGATGGGGGGATGGGGCTGAAGAGATGAGGTTAGTGAAATGCTTGATGTGCATATAGGAGGAGCTGAGTTTGCTCTCCTAGAACCCATGATACAAGCAAACAGGCATGATGGCATGTACCTATGATCCCAGCACTGGGGAGGCAGAGGCAAGAAGATACCTGGGCTTGCTGGCCAGCCAGGCTAGCTGAATCAAGAAGCTCTGGGTTCAGTGGAGGGATGGACCCTGCTTCAAAAAATAAAATAGTAACTGAAAAAGACACCTGACATCGATTTCTAGCCTCCACACACACGCACACATGCACATATATGGACATGCATGAACGTGTACACAATAAATACATAGTAAATAAATAAATAAATAAATAAATGAATGAATGAATACTGAGGATGTATTTGAGTATGAATGTACAACTTTTCCCCCAACATTTCATTATTTTCAGATATACAAATTCAGAGATGGCACTTAATTCCATCTGTATTTTAGAACAGGAAGAAATAATAATATTCTCATAGAGAACTTATAGATCCTTTAAGAACCAAGAAACCCACACTTGAGAAACAGCAGAATTTGCAGTTCTGCTTTTCTCACTGAACGTAATCCCACGATGATTTCTTTAATGACTTTATTTTAATTCATAACAGGAAAGAAGGTAAATATAAGGTAATAGGAAGTCATCTTGTTTATTTATTTGTTTTTGAGACAAAGTTTAGTTATATAGGTTATGTTGGCCTAGAACTAGTAATACAGCCCAAGCTGGCCTCAAATTTGCAATCCTCCTGCCTCAGCTTCCTAAGCTGTGGGATTACAGGTGTGTACCACATGCCTGACTCTCCTATGCCTCTTTTAAGCATTTGAAAAAGGAAGAAAATATATCATTTTTTTGCCTCAATGTTAGCCTAATTTTTATTACTTTAATAGCCACTTCTAAAGTTTTCTTCTACTTTGTTACAACTTGTTATAATCTGTAACTTTGTCTCTTGGACCAAATCTATAACAACTAGGCCACCAGGACTACAGGACATCCACTAAGGCTATCGTGCATGTTAGCAGGGAACTGGCAGCAAGCCCAGCAACCACATGAAGTATTGCCACCAAAAAGATCCCAAACTCTCATGTTCCTACAGCTGTTAGGCCTGGGGTGTCCCCAGAGAGCCTCTGAGATCCATCTGGATGAACTCCTCCAGGGGGACTTCTGCTTTTCTCACTGAACATAATCTCACTGCTCAGATTCAACATTCCCTCTGGGAATAGCATAAAGCTCCAGAGTACCTTTCCTCAACCAGAAGTGATAACTAGTTTCTTAAGCACTTAAAAAAACAAGTTCATCCCCAAATCGAGCTACCTACTATTAATCTACTGTAAATTCCATAAAAAGTTTTCAACTACAAAAATAATACAGTATACCAACAAAATTTGATATTTGCAACAAAATAAACTTGTTTCTTCCTTCCCTTCTCCCCTCCTTCCCTTCCTCCCTTCCCTCCATTCCTCCCTCCTTCCTTCCTCAGTGCCAGGGATCCAACCCAGCCTTGTGCATGCCAGGCAAAGTGTTCTACCACTAAACCCATTCTCAAACCTTTAATTCTTCATTTGTACCACTTGTGAGATGGAAAACACCAGATGTGAACTTTCACTTCTTGAATAACACCCTTGACTTTTAACTAGTACCAGAGAACCATGAACAATGTTCATTTTTCAAAATGTTCTAGTAACCAACTATAACTAAACAGAATTTTTTCTGCTTCAAGATTTCTTTTAAGAAAATAAATTTGGGTTAAATTCTGAAAAATAAAATATATCTTTCTCTGAGATTGACTCTCATGATTCTGCTCAGGCTGGATTTGAACTCCTGGGTTCAGGCAACCCCTTAATCTCAGTCTTCTAAGTAGCTGGGACTACAGGTGTGCACCTGTACCCATCTTAACCCACTTAGTGTTTGAGCTCTAATCATACGAAAAATAGGGTATTGTCAGGCAACCAAAGAAAGACCTCCAAACGACAGACGTCTGTGTGTGTGTGTGTGTGTGTGTGTGTGTGTGTGTGTGTGTGTGTGTGCATGTGTGTGTTCCTGAAAGACTGACGAACCGAAAGAAGAGCTTTATGGTGAGGAAGCGTGGACGCCATTCAAAGCCCCATTCAGTTTTATACTAGCATGGTAGTTACGGTACTCTGATTTGGTGGAATTTTCAAAGTTCACCGGCCATTCACTTACGGCAACTTCTGAATGAATCCCTCTGCTGTGTTTGGATTACAAGCAGTACTAGTTAATACATCACAACAGCTGTTTTTAAGACTTTTAACTTCTCTTTCCCACTATTTAATTCTGTTTGGGATTTTCCACGTGTAAGTCTTATTCTGTGGTTTCTGTATGTGAGAGGCCACAGCTAATATGCCAGTGTTTTTCACAGCACTCTCTCGTGCTCTCCTTTTTGCCTAGATGTCCTCTCAGCATCCTCTGAGTCACTGTATTCTCCTTTGTTGTTTTGGTCTGACCAGATCCATCTTCCCCTCTTTCCCGCTGTTGCTGGGTTAGTTCCACTCACTTTTGCTACAGGAAACCACCCTTCCTCCTTTCACTATAGCCTTAGAGAAGCCAATCAGATACTTTCTCTGTTTCTGGAACCTACGGGTTACACTAGAAGTAGCAAAGTCTTCAAATGATAAAGTACATGACTCCAATGCAAAACTGGAAGAAGGACCAGGCGCCAGTTCTGTCTCTGGTGCTTCCCTGATTCTTATCTTTGAGTTCTGACTTAACAGCTGCTTCTCCCTTCTGAGAGCTACTCCATATCCTTTTAAGAAACAAATTAGAAAACTGATTTCTACTAGAAACCTTTAAATTATACACCCCTGAAATGCTCTCCTTTGACATTTCCTAGTTCTATTAGTGATAGTACAGTCTTATCACCTTAACTAGAAACTTTATTTACATGTAATTTATGTTTATACTTAATTTGCCTTTGTCTTCATCTAATCCATTGGCAAGATTTGCAAACCCAAACTCTGAAGCATCTCTTCATATTTCTAACTTTTGTAGCCCACTGGTTCTTAACTCAAGCTCCTTTGGCCTCACCTCTCTAGTGTGGGAGTACAGGCACACACCACCTCACCTGCTTCATACTTCTCTTTCTTGACCCATAGACCCATTCTAGACTCCTGGTGTGTCTGATTTAGAGAGATAGTGTAGTATAAAGATCAGCTTTAGGTTCTCCCACACTGAAGCTTAAAATCTGGCTTTCCTACTTTTTAGCTATGCTGTCTTGAGCAATTAATTTCTCTGAGCCTTCATTTATTTTTTTACTTGTTAATACCACCTACCTCATAAGGTTATTATAATACTCACTAAAATCAAATGGATAAAATTCCTAGATATTTCATGCTTTCTAGTTGCCAATTTAGTTACTACTATTGTTGTAATTGATTTTGCTAACTTCGGACTGATCCCTGCCTGCAGTTTCTTAGCCTTTCCAATACTTTTGATATAATGATATCAGATTCATTTTCATATATGTATTTTTAAATCATATATAAATGGAATTCTTTTATCTCTATATTGCTATCAAACTCCTACCTGTTAGACTGCTAAATGGGTAAATAAATGCAAAATAAAAATAGTACCTGGCAGGACTGTAAATGTACCTCAGTGGTGGAACACTTGTCTTTTCTGTTTGTTTTTGTGGGCAAGGCCTTGCTATATAGCCCTGGATGATCTGGTACTTGCCATGTAGACCAGGATGCTCTTGACTCACAACACTCCTCCTGTCTCCATCCCCTAAGTGCTAGGATTACAAGAATAAGCTACCATACCAAACCTGAAAAAAAACCTTAAGTATTTGGCACACAGTAAGTATTCTTCAGTAAATACTCATGAAATGAGGCACGTGAGGGCAGAAGTGGAGGACAGGAGGAAAAGGGAGAGGCTATGTAATTGCTAAGGAGGTAAGGATGAAGATAATATCCATGCAAGGTTCTAGGAATATAAAGATAAGTAAGATATAACTATTGTCCTCAAAGAGTGCTCTAGACAAGAGACAGATACATAAATGGATGAGGGTGCTATAAAAAATCAATGGTTGGGGTGGAGAGATGACTCAGTGGTTAAGAGCACTTTTGATTGTTCTTTCTGAGGACCTGAGTTCAATTCCCAGCAACTCTATCAACTAGCTCACAACCACCTGTAACTCCAGCTCCTGGGGGATACCATTTCAGATCCTTCTTCAGCCATGAAGGGCCTTTTCTCATCTTTCTAAATGTGTGACCCTCCCACCCAACCACATTGTACCTTAGACCACTTAATCACTTTTTATAACTTGCCTTTTTTAACCTTACTAAACTATAAGCCTTAGGCAAGAGTTGTATCCTGGTCATATTTATATATATTCTAAAAAATAAAAACCATGCCTTGTGGGGCTGGAGAGATGGCTCACCAGTTAAGAGCAATGGCTGCTCTCACAGAGGATCTGGGTTTCATTCCCAGCACCCACACGGTGGCTAACAACCATGCGTAACTCCAGTTCCAGGGAATCTGACACCCTCTTCCGACCTCTGCAGGCATTACATGACACAGGTACACTTACATACATACATGCGGGCAATACACTCAAACACAAAATAAAAATAATAACCCCATGCCTTGCATATCGTAGATGCTAAATAAATAATTTTAAAATCTGATACCCAATTTTACCAAATTACCTTCAATGGACTGCCCAATCATTTTATTTTGTTTGAATTTTGTTGACATGAGCATTAATTAGAACAAGACGACTGATTTTTCTATAGGTTATATTTTTAGTTATTCTCTTTCATTAACATAGAGCATTGATATTTATCATAGCATTAGTTATGTGCATTGGAATGTGAGATTATTTTTACCTTCCAGATTTTTCTTAGATCAATATTTATTAGATATATGTAATTTAATTTCTAAAAAGACTACTTCTTTTGAATGACTTTCATGATTGTTTAATATTTATGGATGGTGTATGAATCATTGAAGGCGTAAACAGCGTTACTTGAATCTGCTTGCTGATCTCTCATTTTTTTTCTTTCAAAGTAACACCATTTTCATTTACTTTATGTAGGTAAATGTGAATGTAAGGAACAAGTGTTAGGAAATCCCAAGGCATTCTGTGGAATGAAATACTCATACGGTGAGTTTGAAGTCTGTACACCTATCCCAACTCTAAAATTCAAAGAGCTTTTAAGGAAACAGGAGGCCTGGCTGGTGAGAGGAACATAGCACATGCTTAGGAAATGGTAAGGAGAAAGAAGAGGTTACATATTTGTGAGGCACTAAAACTGACGATCCACCTAGGTCTCTTTATCAACATCTCCAAATAATCTAGAGTCTTCTACGGTTCAAATACCAAACAAACAAACAAAACAAAACAAAAACCTCATATGCTCATATGGAAAGTTATGTTACTCATAAAGACTGTTACTATTTTCAAATTCCAAATGACTTTATATTTATATATATAAGATATCTTACTTACCAACATATTGTTGACTAATATATGAGCCTTTTTATTGCCCCATAGTTTATATGACTTGATATATGCACTAGAATGAAGATAGAATTTAAATCATGATTTCTGAAACCAATACAATATTTCTATTCTTGATAACATTGTTTTTAATCTCATTAGCGATTAAAAAGCTAACTGAAAAAAAACCATAAATCTTATCTAAACTTACATGCACACTTCCTTCTCTTCACTTTCCAACTTGGCTAATAGATGAAAACGTTTGCAATGTATAGTTTCCAGTGAAGGAAAGGCAACTTAGAGGAAATGGCATTTACTACTGAAAGCAAGAAGCATGACACTTTCACCCAACGTCAGTTAGCTCAGCCAAACTGTAACTGGTCTCATTATCACATATATTTATCAGCTCTCTGACAAACAAGCAACCTTTTAATCAACTGTATTCATTTTCAACTTAAGAGAATTTGAACATTTTTCAAGATGTAGTGAAACAATTTGGTCTTGTTAAGTGCATTATACCTACATACTTGGAAAAAAATGGTTTCTCCTTCCATTCTCTAGTATAATGGGAAAAAATTCAATTTATTTGTTGATTCCTATTTCAAATATTTACTGAGTGACAGTAGTGAACAAACAAGGGCTCTGCTTCCTTTGAGTTTACAGACTATTGGAGAAATCACAGTGATTAGTGGGCACTAATGCTCTGCACTGTTCCATATGTTCATCTCATCAGGAGTCTAGTCCAAACTAATTCTAACCAACCAGGCATATGAACTTAAGTACACCTAATTTTTTAAAACTTTTAAGACAATAGATTAGTTCTTAAAACCCCTTAGAAGTACAAACTTTGATGATTCTACAATGATAGCCCTCTGACAATGGTATTCTCAGAATATGGGACCAGCTAAGATAGCATTCTCTTTTTACATACAACCTTCCATAAAGATGTGTAAGAATTGGAGCTGAAGAGATGGCTCAGCAGTTAAGAGCACTGGCTGCTCTTGCCGAGGATCCAGGTTCAGTTCCCAACACCCACATGGTGATTAACAACCATCTGTAATTCCAATTCCAGGGGATCCAATGCCCTCTTCTGGCCTCTGTGGACATTGCATGACATAGGTGCATTTAAATACCAGCAGACAAAAACTTCTAAAAACTAATTAATTATTTTAAAAAGATGTGTAAGAACTTTCCTAGTGTTCATCCTAGTGTTCCTTAGTACCCCCCACTTCAAATTACTTCCTTACATAATTTCTATCCACATCCCTTACATAGTTGGAAGAACATAACAGAATCATAAGACTAACAGAATACTTGAGGTCTATAATCATAATGTATTATACTGTGTATTTAAAAAAGAAGAAAGGATTTTGAATGTTTTCAGTATAGTGGAATGATAAGTATTTGAGTAGATCCGCCTCCTCGGGCTCTACATTTCACTGTATACGTACATATATACATCACATATTCCATAAATATGTACAATTTCTTTGTGTCAATTTAGAAACATTTTAAATTGTTAAAAACTTAAATAGAGGGGCTGGAGAGATGGTTCAGTGGTTAAGAACACTGGTTGTTCTTGAAGAAGACCCGGGTTCGAATGCCAGCACCCACATGGCAGCTAACAACTGTCCGTAACTCAAGTCCCAGGGGACCTGACAGCCTCTTCTGACCTCCATGGACATTGCACAACATGGCTGCACTTACCCACATGCAGGCAATACATGCATACACATAAAATAAAAATAATAAATAAAATTTAAAAATAAATAAATAAATAAAAAGAATACTAGAGTTCTGCCATCATGTAGAGGGCCAGTTTACCTCACCCCATCAGCTTGCATTAAACACAGCATTTTGCCCTCTGTCATAACATTACACACAGTTAACCACAGACATACAATATAGTCAGAATCCAAATAAACACCAGGGTAACAATTCTACTTCCTATTTATTCTTTCTCTATAGATTAAATAACTGAATATACTTATGGTTCTATTTGCAGTAGGCAGTAACAGATATCCTCTATTGTGATAGTATGAGAGGAGTGAAAGTTGAGATTATCCAGTAGAGAAAAATAAAATATAAATCAAATTAAATAAATGCAAAAATGAATGAGCCTCATGATTTTTTAAAAATTTTATTTATTATGTTTATTTTACTTTATGTGCGTGTGTGTGTTCCCTGCATGTAGGTAAGTGCACCCATGTCATGCAATGCCCACGGAGGTCAGAAGAGGCTGTCAGATCCCCTGGGACTGGACTGGAGTTATGGACAGTTGTTAGCTGCCATGTGGGTGCTGGGATTTGAACTCGGGTCTTCTGCAAGAACAACCAGTGTTCTTAACTGCTGAGCCATCTCTCCACCCCGAGCCTCATGATTTTTAAAGCAAACTTCCACATTCTGATTTTCATTAATTCATCGTTCATTATAGTCTAAGAAATGCATATTTAGGTTGTTCAGTTTTCAAAAGAGAATGTGAGATCTATGCATTTTTACTTTTGGATTTATGTTACAGTGTTAAAAATCAAGATTTTATCAGCTCATGATAAAGGGTCACATGCTGAGGTCAATGTGAAGATTAAGAAAGTCTTAAAATCTACCAAGTTGAAGATCTTACGAGGAAAGCGAACACTGTATCCAGAATCATGGACAAACAGAGGCTGCACTTGTCCAATCCTCAATCCAGGTGAGCATTAACTAGACTTCCCTATCTTGGTGAGTACCTTGTCTCTGCTGATCTGCTTCCTGTCTTACATTCTCTGAACTACAACCTCAATAAACTCCACAAAGTTATCTCTCCTTTTCTCCCTCTGAACACTGAGGAAAATCCAAAAGGAATTCTCTGAACTGACATCAAAAAATTATTTCTCCTCCAAGTACTCCGTAAAAATAAAATACTTTAAAATCCAGTAATATAATACTTTTTGTCCTAAAAGAAAAGTCTCAGCTTGAATCCAGGTGCCAGTTGCATAGAGAACACTTTCATGAATTTATCTGCCATTTGCAAGTTATCGGAAAGCTAGGTCCTATTACATGAGAACCTGTTCCCAAAGGAAGCTCCAATGCAAAATTCCACCTGTGCAAATACATTGAAGTCATTTTTATTATTGCACGAGAAGCATCTGTTTCTCCTGGATAGAAAGCAACTCTCAAGTCCTTATCATGTTGTTTTTCATTAAATGATCGAATTCTGGTTTCAAATGAGAAACAGCAGAAAAAAAAATTAAATACAATTTTAGAGAAACTTGGAGTAGAGCACAATTTGATTTGAACTCTAAAATATAAGGCAAAAAGCCTTATTTATATTGATGGTGAAGACATAAGGCAGAGATAGTGATAAGCCAGCAGTCATAGATGAGTTCTGAATATGCCTAAGGAGTCTAAACTTCGATGATTCTACAGAGCTCTCTGACAACTGTGTTCTCAGAATATGAGGTCAGTTAAAATAGGATTCTCTCATTACAACCTTCCATCAATACATGTAAGAATGCTCCTAATGATGTAGAAAGCTGCATCCTACAAGTAAATGTACACGTTACCTACTGTGTCCTAGGCTACTTATTTCTGTCACCCTCACTAAATCTGAAGACAGGATTTAGAGTTTTTAATCCTAGAATCTTCAGTACCCACTATTCAGTATCCAAATATTGCTAACGTAAAGTTCAGATGATAGGTTCTATTAAAAGAAACAATTCTAAGAAAGCCTTCTTCCCTGTTCTTATATTCTGTGTTTTCCTGTCTGTGTGACCACATTTAAGTTGCAGGCACTGCTGAAACAGGTGCATAACTTATATCCCGGATCCAATTTATTCTCCATATGAACCAAGAAACCACAGTTATGTTAATAAGTCTTTTGTGGTTTTTAAGTAACAAATTTGAAAGAAACAAACAGATAACAGAGAAAAACTAGCAATAAAATATCCCTTAATCTAAACAATTTAAACAATGATACAAAAACTCTACTGTTAACTAATTTCTAATACCCTCTTTTATCCCTCCAGTACTTTATTTAAATTTGTTTAAATTGCAATAAGATAGATGAGGAAAAATTAATTATAAAAAATACATACTTCCATGTTACTGAATATGTTAAATCTGTAATGAAATGCTTCCTCTAATCATGTAGTTATTAAAACATTTTTAATTACAAAATAGTCCTAGAGGGAGTGGATCTGGATATCCATGCTCAGATGCCTAGAAGCTCAGAAAGTAACCAACAGTGACTAGTAATAATCAGATATTTAGAGATTAGAAATGCATGTGCGAACATCCAATGTCAATTGCATTGAAAAAGAATTTTTCTGTATGAAACTGTGTATTTTAATAATGAAATGAAGATCTTTTTTAAAGGTTAAAACCTCATTTAATTTTATGTCTTATTGGGTTTAGACTGAGTAAAATATTGTATAACTGTAATAATTCAATTGTAAACCTAAAAATTTACAGCCAATTTTGAAAAAGATGCATCTTAGCTCAGAAAATTGTTATTGAATATGTCAATGCTGTTGTAATGAAATGCTTCTTCTAAGAAAAAAAAAAATCAGAACTAGGTTTGTTACCCCTCCCCACTCAGGCCCCATGACCTCCTGAGCCACAGGCTTTTGATCAGTGTCACAACCAAGCCTGAATTCCCTCCACAAATCCAATCAGAAAGCGATTGGTTGTCACAATAAACTTTATGCCACTATTGTCAGTGACTTCTTTTGATAAGACGGAAAATACCACAGTAACAAAAACTGACTTTCTATATGAACAGTGTTATATGTAAATTTATTTTTACAGTTTTCCTTTTTTATATATTTCTGTAATTTTCCTGAATTCTACAGTGAAAAATAAATGTTACTTTAAAAAAAAATACATACTCCCAAAGAATAAATTGAAGTAATAAGAATCTTGGAATTTGAATACAGGAAACAAAGAGTCATTCATTTAAGTCCTATTTCCCAGTGAGCCTGGCTTAAGGGCTCATATAAGCAATTTACTATTATCTTGGCAAAAGAAAAAAAAAAGTCTGCCTAGTTTTGCAGTATAACATTAAAAACAAAAGCTTTGACCATCTGAGCCACCCTCCAGGAAGTGAGCTATATTTCCTAATCAGGTCTCTGCCAGAGTCAAAGAACCAACTGAGTTCATCACAATTGAAAACATAAGTGCAATTATTCAAAGAATTCTTGAAAACATGTTTACTTGCTTTGAAGAAAAGATCTGGAAGCTGCCAAAGCAAAACTAGACACCATTTCATTTTGCTTTGTTTTTCTTTTTTTACAATTCAACGGCTAAAACCAAAGAACACTGATAAGAAAACTCTGAAACCTTACACCTCAGCTTGCTCCCTGTGTTACTTTTGAAAGAGAGCAATCTACCTGGATATCTGTGCCAATCCAATCCTCTTAATATACGCATGCATTCACTCATGTATCAGTCATCTTTCTGAATACTAGCACTAAAGTACACTTTTTAAAAAAAAATATTTTTATTTTATATATATATGAGTGTATTGTCTGCATGTGTGTAAGCACACCCATATGAGAAGAAGGTGTCCAATCTCCCGGAACTGGAGTTATGGACGGTTGTTAGCTGCTGTGTGGGTGCTAGGAATCAAACCCTGGGTCCTCTGCAAGAGCAGCCAGTGTTCTGAATCACTGACCACCTCTCCAACCCCCACACTTTCCTTTTCTATAGATACAAAACTTTGTGCCCTCAATCATATAACAAAGTAGATAGATGTCAGAACATAAAGATAGACAAATTAAATGTAAGTGCTAATAAGAGATGTAAAAGATGTCACTGTTTTGTGTGTTAATGTGGTATCACAGTACTCCATTCCTTAGGGATTTATTCAGTATCATTTATATTAGTTTTAGATTGATACTTTAAATGGTAAATTCTTGGACTTTTGTTATATTTATGGCTTCAAAGTAAATTCATTTAAAATACTGGGCTTGGAGCTGGAGAGATGGCTCAGCGGTTAAGAACACTGACTGTTCTTGCAGAAGACCTGGGTTTGATTCCCAGCACCCACATGGCAGCTAACAACTGTCCTTAACTCTGGTTCCAGGGGATCTGACAGCCTCTTCTGTCCTCTGCAGGCATTGCACAACACAGATGCACTTACCTACATGCAGGCATAACACTCATACACATAAAATAAAAATAATGAATAAAATATTTTAAATACTTGGCTTAATCTTGAAGGTTTTTTTAATTGCTATATATGTATTGGTCTTTTTTGAGACAGGATCTCCCTGTAGCCCCAGCTGTCCTGGAATTGACTATGTAAACCAGGCAGGCCTTGAACTCACAGAGATCTGTCTGCATCTGCTTCCTGAGTGCTGGGATTAAAGGCATGCACTACCACAATGGGCTTGCTTTTTATATTTTTAAGAGAACTTTATTATTTTAAACATTAGATAGTAACAAGATTATCATATATGTTTATATGTGTAGATGTACATATGTTTTTTTAACTAGAGATTGAACGCAGTCATTGTGTATACCAGACAAGCACTCACCACTGAGCTGCATCCTAAGTCCCTTTTTATTTTGAGACAGGGTATTGCTAAATTGCTCAGGCTGGCCTAAAACTTGGAATCCTCTTGCTTTAGCCTCCTAATAACTAGAGTAGCTAGAATTACAGGTATGAGTCACTACACAGGCCTCATAAATTTAAACTGATATTTTAATTGAATTTTAGCATCTAATGTTTTAATTAAAATTTTCAAGTATATAGTTTTTTGTATTATATTGGAGTTATAAACATAATTATTTTTCCAATCTTAAGATATTTTACAAACTTGTTTGTAAATAACAAAATTGATACCATTATAAATATGCACTGAAGGATATTATCATTTCTTTAAATAACATATAGTTAAAGAGATGATCCATCTTTCTGGGCATTTGTTAGCTAAACTGTTTTACTCAAAACTTTAAGAAATTTTGAATTATATAGGAAGTACTAAATGTACCAAGCCTTATCATTTTTTGTTTTGTTTTGCTTTGCTTTAATCACAAACAAGCATCCTGTGTTCGTTCCTCAAGCACATTGATTTCATACAGCTCATATGTGTCATTTGCTGTCATCTATACGTCTCTCCTGTTTTCCAAGTAGTGCTTCCCTTTTATAAAGCCCTTCTTAATATAGTTTACCATACACAGATCTCCAGAGAACACTCACATGTCAAGTGCCCATGGAATCTTCACTTCTTTCTCCTATGAGGTGAAACAGTACAAAGGTTGAGAATCAGACAGACCTGAGTTTGAGTCATAATGCTGCGACTTAGTGGGAGGCACTGAACAAGTTTTTTGGCCATTCTGAGACTCAGTTTTTCATTTTCAAAAAGAAGAAAAAGGATATTTATTACGCAGTTCATTTTCAAGATCAAATGTAAAAGTACGTGTACGGCAATTGGCGCATAGTAAGTACTAGATGTCAGCTATTGGTGTCTATTAGTCCCCATTTCATCCATGCCTATATAAAGCCATGGGCCATGAATCTGTGAAACTGATGGTCATGCCTCCTCTCTCAATAAAGGATAATACTATGCAGCCCTTTGTTCTTTTTAGGTTTGGAGTACCTGGTGGCTGGACATGAGGATGTAAGAACGGGCAAATTAGTTGTGAATATGAAAAGTTTTGTCCAGCGCTGGAAACCATCTCTTGGAAGAAAAGTCATGGATATTTTTAAAAGAGAGTGCAAGCAGCAATAAAGGTGTATAGCCAGGGATGGCACTTCGCTGTGTAGAACACACACGTCTAATGAAAAAGAGACCTCAAAAATGAAACTGGAATTTTTTAAGTGCCAAAATGTAGAAAAATGTTCCAATGCAAAGGCCTTGTCTAACCTATCTGTCCTGGACCCATGTTCATAAAGACAAGGGAAAAACCCTGTCCTGTTGCCTGTTTTCTATGGAGCCGATTCTGAAGGTCATAGCTATTGAGAATATTTTTGTAGCAAGCAGCATGGTACCGAGCAGGAATCCATTAAGGGCAGTAGGTCTGGCAATAGGTCACAAGGTCCCAGCGTCAGCTATGTCTCTTACATTTGATACTATTTACAGTAATTAATGAGATTTTAAAGAATCCCCAGCTCTACTGTCAGGAAAGGTGTTTCTTTAAAAAGAGCCTTGTCTTGTGTGTTGCTATGAACTTTGCTGTGTGGGATGTTGAATGGAACCTCTCCGTGTGTGTATAGTGATTCCTTGTGTAAAGCACTTTACTACCTACCCGTGTTGTGAAAGGTTGGAGACTGCTGTTGACAGGAAGAGAAGAGAAGGGTGTGTGTGGGAACCTGCTGAAACAAGCACTGCACTCACGTGGGCAAAGTAACCACGTGTAAATGCAGTTACGATATTTAACTCTGAACGCCTGGAGAAACTATGTCAAGATGCAAGCCAAAAGGAGCATATGTTTGCGTGAAGTCTCAAGTTTGGGGCAAGATGCTGGCCATAATGAAGCTTTTAAAAAAAATAAATAAATAAACAAAAAGAGACTTTAAAACAAGAGAAATGAATCATAAATGTAGAAATATGTTTGCGTAAAGGGGAAGTGGACTTTAAAAAGCTCATCTGTTTGTGATGCACTTGTATACACCAGAAATTATTGTAGACACAGAATTTGTTCTATTTTTGTGTTTAGTATTTAAACCTGAATGCTGAAATGGTTTTCTTCTTTATTAACAGTTTATGGTCATTACATTTACCCATTGTTTAACAATGTATGTGACAGTTCACCAAATTATTGTTTTTCAATATTTTTCATCTTCTATATTCATGCATAACCACTATGCATACAGTTTCTTCTGTACTTGAATATACAAAACAGGAACCACAGTGCCATAACTTTAAATTCACATACAGAGCATATTTTTTCCTAAGGTCCTGTGGACTCACAAAAAATATATATATATTGCTTTGTTAATTTGTTTTTATATTTCATGTATGTAATAAAGGAATATGACCTCCTGATTTTTGTCTCCTGATCAACTCTTCAATGATGCTAAGTATTAACTTCTCTTAATAAGGGAACTTAAGTCTAATTCCTTAAATTAAAAAAAAAAAAATCATGCCAGCATGGTGGTGCACATCTTTGATCCCAACACTCGGGAGGCAGAGCTCCAAGCCACCTGGGGCTACAGAGAGACCCTGTCTCAAAAAGACCAAAAACATGGGCTGGAGAAGTGGCTCAGTGGTTAAGAACACTGAATGTTCCTGCAGAAGACCTGGGTTTGAATCTCAGCACCCACATGGCAGCTAACAACTGTCTGTAACTCCAGTTCCAGGGGATCCGACAGCCTCTTCTGTCCTCCATGGGCACTGCACGACACGGGTGCACTTACCTACACACAGGCAATACACGCATACACATAAAAATATAAAAATAATAAAAATATTTTTTTTAAAAAATCATGAGAGCCAGGGAGATGGTTCAGCAAGTAAAAGTGTTTGCCATGTAAGCCTGACAACCTGAGTTCAAATCCCTGCAATCCCATTTAAAAAACCTGATACTGTGGCTTGTGTCTGTAATTCCAGCACTCCTACAGGAAGATTGAGGTTGGGGGTAAGACAGGAAAATGGGCTACCAGGTCACGTAGACAATACACAGCAGCAGAAACAAGATAAAGCCAGTGAGCTGACTCATGGATAAAGGCACTTGCCACCAAGTCTGCCGATCTGAGTTCGGACCCAGAACCCAAGCGGTGAAAAGAAAGAACTGATTCAGGTCTCTGATCTCCACAAGCATACAAATAAATAAATATTTTAACAAGGGGCTGGAGAGATGTCTCAGCAGTTAAGAGCACTGACTGTTCTTGAAGAAGACCCAGGTTCAAATCCCAGTACCCACATGGCAGCTAAAAACTGTCGGTATCTCCTGAAATGTTGTTCTCTGACCTCCACACTCACACTGTGGCATACATGTACACACACATACACTGGCACAAGTACACATATATACATACACAATAAATAAATAACAAATAATCTTCAAGAAAATAAGTATGGGGAAAAAAATTCAATACTTCCACCCTGTTATTCTGGGTACAGAAACAGAGTGGAGCCAATTCAAACCGTTGTTGTTTCTACATTGCATTACAATTTTTATAGCACATGTATTTTTTTTTATTTCACGTGTATGAGTGTTATGCCTGTATGTGTGTAAGTGCACCGGTGTTGTGCAGTGCCCGTGGAGGTCTAAAGAAGGCGTTGGATCCCCTGGAACTGTAGTTACAGACAGTGGTTAGTCATCATGTGGGTGCTTGGATTCGAACCCAGGTCTTCTGCAAGAACAGCCAATGCTGAACCATCTCTTCAGCCCACACATGTATTTTTTTTTACTAATTTAATTTTGTACATTTATTTATTTAATTGGATTTAATTGGTTAGTTGGGGAAGCGGATGCACACCATGGCGTGTGTATGGAGCTGAGAGAGTAACTTGCAGGGGTTGGTTTTCTCCTTCTACCATACGGGTTCTAAGGATCTTAGGTTGTCAAGCTTGGTGCCAAGTGCCTTTACCCACTGAGCTATCTTGCCAGTCCCTTAACTAATTTTAAAAGTAATAAAAGTTTACTATTAAAAATACAAAGGGTAAGGGGCTGGAGAGATGGCTCAGAGGTTAAGAGCACTGACTGCTCTTGCAGAGGACCTAGGTTTGGTTCCCAGCACCCATATGGTGGCTAACAATCATCTATAACTCCAATTCCAGGGTACATGACATCATCTGACTTCCGCAGGCACTGCACAGTATGGGTGTACTTACATACATGCGGGCAATACACTCGTACACATAAAATTTAATTAATTTTAAAAGGTGATTGAATGGTACAGCTCATTTGTAAATGGATTTTTAAATCCAGAATCAGGAATTCAGGCTTTGGATGACACTGAAAGGGGTTCAGGTAGTTTTGGTTCCACGGGAAAGAATAGAAAATGGAAAAGAAACAAGAAAAATTACAAAAGGCAGGGACTGTAAAGATCATTCAGTGGTTAAGAGTATTTCCTTCTCAGCCAAGCAGGCATGGTGGTGCACGGCTTTAGTCCCTGCACTTGGGGGAAGCAGAGGCAGGTGTATCTCTGTGAGTTCAAGGCCAGCCTGGTCCACATAGTAAGTTCCAGGCCAGATCTTTGTGAGTTCAAGGCCAGCCTGGTCCACATAGTAAGTTCCAGGACAGCTGGGGCTACAGGGAGACCCAGAGATCCAGAGTTTGGTTGCCAGCAACCATACTGGGTGGCTCAACTCCAGCTCCAGGTGCTTTGACACCCTCTCTGGCATCCTTGTGCACACACATACACAGACACCCACACACAGAAATAAAAATAAAAATGGGGTCTGGAGAGATGGTTCTGCAATTAAGAGCACTGACTGCTGTTGTTGAGGACCTGGATTTGATTCCCAGCACCCACATGGCAGCTAACAACCATCTGTAACTCCAGTTCCAGGGGATCCGACACCTTCTTTTAACTTCCGCGGCCACTGCATGACGTGGGTGCACCTAGACACATGTAGGCAATGTACCCATACACAAAATATAATAAAAATATTTTAAAAAATAAAAATAAATCTTTTCTAAAAAAATGCAAAAGGGGCTGATGAGAGGGCTCAACAGGTAGGGATGCCTGTCCCCAAGCCTGACAACTCCAGTTTGATGCCCAGGACTCACATGGTAGAGAGAGGGCCAACTCCTAAATGTTGTCATCTGACTTCCATAGCACATATGTGTCTACACACATACACACACACACACACACGTGTGTGTGTGTGCCCACAAAGGTAGAATAGGGAAAAGATATACTTCAATCATCCTTCATTAACAGTCAGTAGTACTTAGTGTTTATGTAGAGGCCATTTTCTATGTTTATATATATACACACACACACACACACATATATATATATATATA